TCCAACTTTTACAGTGCTGAACCTCTGGAGAGGTTTCCAAACAAGTATTATCAGATGATACACTCTGAGGTTAAATAGTGCTGGAAGCTGTAGATCACCACATTTGGGACTTGTCTGTAAGACAACAGTTTTCAATTATAAAATTCAAATAAATCCATTTAGTTTAATGAACCTCTGGAAATTTGTGGAGCAGTGGAGACAGTGAGCTGAGGTACAGTCCTCCTTGTCCCTGGGAGCTCTGCAAAGCGTTTTCATTTGTTGCTGCTTGGGAGGTCTCACAGGGAGGGGCATCAATCAGGAGGAAGAATACTTCATGCACTGCTCCAGACAGGCTTTTTTTCCCCAAACAGCATGTCTTAACACCCATAAAAATAAGGTTTAAGGGACAAAAAACCCAACCAAGCAAACCCTGAGTTTCAGAAAGGACCAGATCTTACTGTTTCCTCACTTAGGCATTTTATTCTGAGTGACTCAGAGGTTTGAATACTAGTAAGGTGCCTCCAGGAGATGTTTTCCAACTGCTTGTTTGACCTTAGGTGTTGCCTTTTGCTGCAAGGCTCAGTCTTTGGAAGGATCAACATCAGACCCAGTGTCTAGTGTTCTGTTCCCCTCTCACAGCTCTCAGGAGAAGCAAAGGAGTAAAAAATTAGTGCCTTTGTCATACATTATTTCTTGGAGAGCACTTAAATGCATCTTGCACACATCTGGGAAATCAGCCCTTGATCCTCCCAACGACTTAGACTTCAGACTCAGTCATTTACACCTTGTGGGTGTCTGGGCAGCTGAGACTTGGCCAGATGTTCCCTCAGCTTGGTGATTTTGTTCCCTCTCCTCTCATCCACCTCTAGCTGTTTGTTGTCTGTTAGGTTTCCTGCCACGAGGAGGTTGTGCTGTGACATCTCTCTGTGGGTGACTGTGCTCAGCCTTGGGGTCTCAGGGCACCATCAACGTTCTGGTGATCACAAGCTTCAAGCCAAAGTGAGAAAGCAGAGAGTGTAATTGGTGTGTGGCCACAGCCATCAGCAACAGGGGCCCGAGGAGAAGGAACTGGATTCTAATGGGCTTCTTCTGCCTCTGCTTTTTTTTTTCTTCCTTTTTAATGCTGAAGTCTCTTTGGCACATTGCAGCTGTTGCCTGCAGAGAGGAGTCTGAGCTTTCTAGACATCCACAATGCTCTGCTTAAATTATTATTTGTTGCTTCTAGCAACTGCTTTCCTTGTTTTACTCCATAAATCCTTTATTGGTCTAAAATTGTCTGTTGGCTAACACTATCCTTTTCTTCATCCTTCATTCTTTCTATGATTCACAGAATCATAGAATTTAAGGGTTAGAATGGACTTCACACATATCTAGTCCAAACCCCCTCATGGGGAGCTTCTCCTCCACTGTCACTCCCAAGTCTTTCTCCTCTCTGCTGGTTTCAATTCCTTCCCCACCCAACCTGTAGCTGTTCTGGGATTGCCATGGCCCAGGGGTAGGACCTTGCACTTCATTTTGTTGAACTCCATGAGGTTTGCATTGACCTCTCCAGCCTGTCAGTGTCCCTCTGGATGTCCCATCCCTTCCTTCCAGCTGTGACTGCCCCACACACTTGGTGTGGTCAGAGAACTTGCAGAGGGTGCACTCAATCCACTGTCCATGTCACTGATAAAGATGTTGAGCAGTGTCAGCCCCACCACTGAGCCCTGAGGGACACCACTCCTCACTGACCTCCATGTGGACACTGAGCCACTGACCACAGCTCTGTGTGTGACCATCCAGCCAGTTCTTTATCCACTGAGTGCTCCACCCCTCAAATCCATGGCTCTCCAGCTCAGAGCCCAGGATGTCCTGTGGGACAGTGTCACACACCTTGCATGACTCCAGGCAGATGATGAATGCATTAATTTTCCAGACTTACATTTTGCACACAGGATCTGTTCTGCTTTGTTTAATAAAAACATCCACAGAAGCATAATGCCCACATACTGTTCCTGCAATGTTCTTCCTGGGAAACACATTTTCTAGTCAAGAAATTGGTAATTAAGCCTCTGTTTGCCATCCATAGCTTAACACTAATCATCCTTAACAGGGCAGGCCTAGGGGCAGGTAAGCCAGGCAGGCAGGGACCCACCCAGCCTAGCTGGAGGCGCCAGAGAAAGCAAATTTACACAAATGAAACATTTATTATTCATTAATGGTAACAGTTTTCTCCTAAAATTGACAATCTAATTTTCTTGGCGTTTTCCTGGGCAGGTAGAAAGCTGGCAGTGGGTGGGTTGGCAAAAGGAATTAGTCATCTGCTCTGGAAAACAGAGGAAAGGTCTTGATAATATGACCTGTGTGGGGAAAGATGAGACTTCCCAGTGTCAACAGTACTTGTTGGATCTCAAATCTGATGCCTGGCTCCTCAAAGTTCCTGTGTGTTTTAGAGAGAAATGTTTCATTTTGCTGCTCAGAGGCAAATGCTGAGTCTGTGGTCTCTGGGGGGGAAAAACCTTCAATAGCTCAAGTGCATTTTCCAAATTCCATGTTGAGCTTTTACAGGTAAGTACCTAAGTCAAGAATCTTGCCTCCCTCACCACTGAAAAGTGAATTACTCTGTAGCTCTGGATGGCTCAGTCTGTTCAGCTGCTTTAAGGCGCCAGGTGAAGGTAGATTCAAACTTCTTTTGGGTCCTGGTTGTGCCAGGTTGTTCTTCATCTGTGGTGCTGAGGCAGGAAGATCCTTCAGGAGCTTGGAGTTCATTCAGCTTTCTATAAAGGGAGAGCCTCCCGCAGAAGTGCTAGAGCTGGCAGCTAGGTCTGATCCCTGTGAGTACATTTCCTGATATATTTACCTTTGGAATTGAGCTATTCCTGTCTTCCATGGGAGCAGTTGGAGGAAGCAGTTTAAGGCTTTAGGTGTTTGGGAAAAGCCTCCACCTGCTCCCTCTGCTCCTTGAGTTGGATGCTGGAAATCAGGGATGAAAAATGCTTGTTGATCTACAGATCAAGTTTGCTAAAATGAATAGTCCCAGTGGAGGTTTTTATTAATGTAATTGCAGTGTAAATTCACTGACCTCAGGGAAATGGCAAGGTTTTTTGTTTTTCCCCCCTGCATGAAATATGCTGTTACATCCCAGGATGAAAGCACTGCAGGGTTGTGTCTGATCCTCTCCTCTCTGCTGTCTTCCATCTGGGGAAGTGACTCCAGTGACTGAAGCCTTATGCATTTGTGCAATCTGGTTTTTGAACTCTGTGAAATCAAAAGTCAATGAGATTTGGCTCAGTGAATTCCTGTTTTATTATAGCATGGAAATGTCTCCTAACAGACCAGTTGGAATTATTCTAATCCCATTGAGCTCCTGCTAATGAGAGAGGAATCTGCAGCCATGCAGCTGCCAAGTACAAATTACAGGTATCATCCAGGGGAGGAGGGTTCTCATCTGGCAAAATGAGAATGAAACAAGTGAAATGATCAGGAAATCCCTCCTGGAAATCCCATGGACTCCATGCCCTGCCCACACTAAGCTGCTGTTCCTTCTGTTTGTCCTGTGTTCTGTTTTCAAGGGAGTTCTAAAAGGCTGATGTGTATTCGTCATTGTTCTAATTCCCCCTCCAAAGTTCTTTCTGCAAAATTGCTTTCCCAAACAGTTTTGATCCTTTCTGTTTGTCAAACACTCTGTTGACTTTTCTTCCTCACCACACATTTTAATAGGACTGACACAAGCAAAGATGCCCTTGGCTTCCTTTTCTGCAGCGTTAGCAGAATGTGTATAATCCCAGGAATATTAAGTATTCCTTACTTTGCTTTGCTTTTGTGCAGAGCAAGAACAAGAAATGGTTCCTGTCCCACAGGGCTTAGGTAGGAAATCCACACACCCATTATGACTGGAAATAACCAAGTCCTAACCCTTAAATTTATGAAATTTGCTGGGTTTTTTTCCAACCAAGTTGAAAGAAAAATCAAACTCTGGTGTTGCTTTTTTTTCCATTTGGGTCTTAAGTTTTGGTTTCAACTCTTATCCATAAGGAAATAATCTACAGGTGTTTAGTGCAAACTCATGTGGGTGGAGCAGGGAAAAAACCTGTTAAGGTTAAATTTCTTGTCGTTGTGTAGACTTATTTAACCTTTCCTGGTGCAGGAAGTGATTCCTTCAGTGCTTGAAGCCAGAACGGATACGAGAGTTGTAAGCAGAAGTAAGGGGAGGTGGAGGGACAGGCACTGATCTTCTCCTGGTGACCAGTGACAGGAGCTGAGGGAATGGCACTAACTTGTGTCAGGGAAGGGTTAGATTTGGTAGCAGGACAAGGCTCTTTCCTTGTTTTTTGGGCTGTTGCTGCTCCTGCCATCAAGTCATTCCAGGTGTGCCCTCCTGGATCTGGTGGCAGGATGAGTCTGGGAGGGAGAGAAAGAGAAGATTGCACCGGTTCTTGAATAGAAGTTTGGAGTGAAACCAAGAAGACTTTGACTTATGGACAGTTCCATTAAATTTTCAGCACTTCTGTTGGAATCTCAAGCTTCATTGACTTAAAAAAAAAAGTATTAAAAATGTTGCTAGGTGGTGTAAGTTGGAGGTTTAATGGGGGGAGGAAATAAGGACCCATGACCCTTCCTCACTGTAGTGCTGGTAGTGGATTGACTATTGGAAGGCATGGATAGGCTTGTGATGGATTTCTGAGCACCTGTGGTGTCCCTTTGGCAGGCAATTAATAGTAGCTCCAACACTCCTAAGAGCTGCACTGATCCCTGAGTCCAGAGTTAGAATTTCTTCCTTACAACTCTGTAAATAATAGATCAGGAGATATTTCCTGTGTGTTACACTATGTTTATTAGTGACTCTCTGGCAATATGATAACTAATAGAGAACTTTCCCCTTCCATAAATTTAACAGTAGTAAAAAAATCTCTGAAGCATCTGAAAACTTGGCAGAGTAATAAACCACAATATTGATGGTTTTTATTTCCTTGCAGCGCATCGTTCCCCACTGACCGGAGTAAACACCACTGAACCTCATCACAAATAACTGGTGTGATCTTTGTGCCCTCAGGACTTTGTCCAGCAGTGATGATGTGGAGGACAGGGAGACAGAGAAGGGGAGGCTGGAGGAGGCCTACGAGAAGTGTGACCGGGCCCTGGACGAGCTGATCGTGCAGCACTACACGGAGCTGACCACGGCCATCCGCACCTACCAGAGCATCACCGAGCGCATCACCTCCTCCCGCAACAAGATCAAGCAGGTGCTCTCCTGGGGCTTCTGGTGTGCAGCAGCTCCCTGGGCTCTGCTCCACGTGTCACCCTCTGCCACCACTTCTTCCTCGCTGCTGTCATTTCCTGGTGATTACACTACCAGTGATGGAAGCTCCAAGCTCCTGTGTTCGACTTTTATTTCTCTCTGTGTGTTACTCAGCTTCTTGTCACCCTCCTGAATGGAGTTAAAATGGGATTGAGAAAGCACTGGTAGCCCCTTGTTGCCCACTAAATTCCCACCTGGGGTACTGTGTCCAGTTCTGAGGTCCCCAGTACAAGAAAGATGTTGATCTGTTGGAATAAGTCCAGAGAGGCCACAGAGATGCTCCAAGGGCTGGAGCAGCTCTGCCATGGAGCCAGGCTGGGAGAGCTGGGGGGGATCAGCCTGGAGAAGAGAAGCTTCAAGGAGACCTCAGAGCTCCTTCTAGTGCCTCAAGGGGCTCCAGGAGAGCTGAGAGGGACTTGGGACGAGGAATGGAGGGACAGGACACAGGGAATGGCTTCAAACTCATTAGATGGGATATTGGGAAGGGATTCCTGGCTGGGAGGTGCTGAGGCAGTGGCACAGGTTGTCCAGAGCAGCTGTGGCTGCTCCATCCCTGGGAGTGTTCCAGGGGGATGGAATGAGATGACCTTTAATGTCCCTTCCAACCCAGTCTGATTCTGAGCTAGGCCTGATTGCAAGTCACTCCGTGGCACCATTAGGAATGGACAGTCCAGTCCTACCTAGCACAGTTGTCCCTGGCTGTGTCTCAGTAGGAACATGTTTTCTCAGGGATCTCTCTGTGGTTTGAGAACAGAAGTAGTTAAAAGCAGGATGAGAGGTTTGCTGTGTCCCTGTTCATTCATTGTCTGGGCATGTTGCTTTCAGGTTTTTGAAGTCTTGGGGCCTCTGAGCTAACACCTTTCCATCGAATCTGTTCGTGTTGTGCTGTGTTGGCCTCCAGCCACCTCCTGACTAGTCTGGGTGATTCATCAGCTTGCTTTTCACTCCCAGAATATGAATTTTGGTGCTGTTTCCTCGCTCAGCTCTGTTGTGTGAATGCACGTGAACTCAGTGCCCCTGTATCTTTCTGCATGTTGAGTGCTTACACATTGGTGCTGTGCCAGTGAATCACTCTGGATTGTGGATTGGATTGTACTGCTCTCCCTGCAGCAATGGATTAGTTCTTTGGTCTCCTATCTTGTACTTGTAGTTTGCTAGACCTAAACTTTGCAAACTAGACACCAAAATTTATTACTGGGTTTTTTTTCCTGGCTCTGTGGAGGTCTCATCTCAAAACCTTTCCCAGCAGTGCTTGAGGAGCTGTTGGCTTTTACCCTTCTGGGGCTACATCCTGACCCTTATGGCTTTGAAAATTCATTTAGCATTTTCAAAGCAAATGAGACCGTTGTGATGCTTTCCAGGGGTAAGAGATCATTCCAGGATTTATGGACAGAGCTCAGCACTTTGAAAGCACAGATCAATTGCACTAAATTTGAAGTCAGCTGTAGCCAGTGGCCTCTTCTCACACACTGTACAAAGCTTTGCAGAGGTCAAAACAACCAGAGAGTGGTGTGACCTTTTGGTCCCACCTAGAAGAATGACTGGAAGGGTGAAGGACCTTTTGATATTTCAGTTTTCTTATTAGTTGTGGTCGATATGTATTGAAGAAGTTTTGCCCTAATCTCATGAGAGGCCCCAGGTCTGGGTTGTCATCAATCTGTGTTACACCCTGAGATTTGTTTTTGGTGTTCCCCTCTGAGGGTGGATGATCACATGGGTGTTGATGCATTAGGAATTGTACAAGTGATAGTGCAGATCCCTCTGTGCAGCCACTTTTGGAGGCAATTCAGTCTGAATTCCTTTTGGGAAAGGTTTAGATTTGAGTCTATCTGCTATAAAACTGAATTATAAAGTAGAGCCAATTTGGCCTTCCAAGGGGAGGATTGTTCTTAAAGACTTGCTCTTCATTCCTTCCCCTGATCCCAGATGGAGGTGGAGTTGATAATTTTCCTTGCAAGGACAGGAGTAGCAATGTCTTGTGAGATTGCTCCTAGCCCCTCGATTGTTTTGCTGACCTACTTTGGCTTAGTGTAGCTCAGTCCACTGGTGATGGTGTGCCAGGTCAGTGAAAGATTTTCAATTACTGTATTGAACAGGGATTAAATCTGAAATGAACTCAGTGTGTGTTTTACTTTGCCTCTGCTTTTTATGACTCTTAGATGAGCTTTTTTGTTGGCTGAGGATTTTTTCTCAATCCGCTGTCCATGTCACCACAGATGTTGACCAGTCTCAGCCCCAGCAGCTCTTGTTATTTACCAGTGTCCAATTTTGGTCCATCTATGTGTTTCACATGTGTTTTTTTGAGCAAGGTAGGAGAACATGCAGCTGAAGTGAGATTGGTGCTGTGCTTTAAAAGCTCATTATTTCAAAATAAATGGAAGGGCCTAGTGCTGAGAGTCTCTTCATGTGTAATTCAGTGAGAGTTCAACCTGAGAAAAGGTTGGGCCCTAAGTATTCATGAGTTATCACAAAAACAAGAGTGGTGTGAAAGCAATGTGTGAAGCTGTGCTGCTAATTGCTTCCCCATTTTAATGTGTGTTGTTGATTTGCATTATGCAGGAGAAGTTAGGTTCCACTGACCTTACCAGAGGGAATTGGGAGAACCTGAAAGCAGGGAATGCAGGCTGAGAGCTGGGACAGAAAAAAGGAGGAGAAAAGCTCTTGATACTGCCTGAATGGGGAAAAATAATAGAGACTTTGCCACTTAGAGGTGATGTAATGGCCTTGGTAAAGAATGGAAGTGCTGAATTGAACTCTCTGAATTGTTCTGATGAAACCATGAAACTCTCCCCCCAAAAACTGGTGTTGCTCAGGGTAGTAGGGAAATGGTTCTGCGCTCAGCTAGTTGTGTTTCACGGAATGGACACCAAACTTGAAGTTAATCTAAAAAAGATTTAATCTAAAAGGATGTAATAAGGTGGATGGATAAAGTTAACAGCAGAAAAACTGGTGGTAGTTTATTTGCTTTCACTGCAGATTGGGTTCTTGCTGTATGCCAAAGCAATGGATGGAGTCTGGAAAACATGCAAATTAGGCTTGTGGATAATTGGATCTGGAGTTTGTTCATGTTGTGGTACTTGAGCTAAATTTTCACCAGTGCCATAAAACTTGTATTAAAACCCATTTCACTCTGAAAGCAGTTCCAGTTTGTGTGTTCTATGCAGTTCCCTTCAGCCCAAGGAATAACAGAGGTGTGGGAACTTGGATTTGGTTACAGTCTCATGGTATATCTGGAATTCCTGATGAAGTGAGTGTGGGCAGGAACTGCTGCAGGGACAGAGGTAACGGGTCCTTGCCCTGTTGCTGCAGGTGAAGGAGAACCTGCTGTCCTGTAAGATGCTGCTGCACTGCAAACGGGACGAGCTGCGCAAGCTGTGGATCGAGGGCATCGAGCACAAACACGTCCTCAACCTGCTGGACGAGATCGAGAACATCAAGCAGGTCCCTCAGAAGCTGGAGCAGTGCATGGCCAGCAAGCACTACCTCAAGGCCACAGACATGCTGGTGAGTCAGGACACCTCCTGCTGGGGCTGGACGGGCCAGGGGCACCCGGGGCAGCTCTGGTGGTCTGCAGAGCTCTCACCATCTGGGTGTGCTGCCCACTCATTGTCTTTATACAGGTATTTTCAGGACTCTTGATGCCTTTCTTCCCAGAAAGGGTGATCAGACACTGGAATGTGCTGCCCAGGGAGGTGGTGGAGTCACCATCCCTGGAGGGGTTTAAGGACAGGATGTGGCACTTAGTGCAGTGGTCTTGTTGCCATGGTGGTGTTAGGTCATAGGTTGGATTTGATGATCTCAAAGGTCTTCTCCAACCTGATTGATTCTGGGATCCTTTCTGCTTATTTTCACCTTTTTAATGTTCTTTTTCTCACTCTCTTCAAGTGTTTTCCCTTCAGTTTCGTTTCTTTTATGAGCTTGACTCTCTGTTCCACTCTTGTGGTGGAGTTAGCAGTTTCCTGAACTTCTCTAATAACAATACTTTCCTTTCTCTTTCTAACCTTAACCAGCAAACTTTCTCACCAGGCCCCAGTCCTTCCTTCCCTGGAACAGGTTCCAGCAGTAATTACACCCTTGCCAAGGGCGATGATCCTTCTCCAGTTAGTCCTGACATGCAGAGTGCTCAGTCCAGTTCTGGGCTCTTCAGTACAAGAGAGATGAGTTCCTGGTCGAGGCCAATGAAGGATTAGAGATGCTTAAGGAGCATCTCCCATGTGTAGAGAGGCTGAGAGAGCTGAGGCTGCTCCACTTGGGGAAGGGAAACCTCAGGGAGATCTTGCTGATGGTTATGAATGTCTGAGGTGCAAAAAAACAGAGACAGATCCTTCTTAGTGGTGCCCAGTGACTGGAGAGGAGGAATGGGCACAGACAGGAGCACAGGGAATAGTTTTGAAGATAAACCAACACTTTTTTTTACTGTCAGGATGGTTGAACACTGGAACAGGTGCAGTCTATAGGCCCAGAGAGATTGTGGAGTCTCCACCTGTGGAAGACTTTCCAAACCAGATTGGGTGTGATCCTGGGCCAACTGGCTCTAGGAGACCATTCCATTAGGTGTTCTCCAGAGGTCCTTTCCATCCTCAAACACTCTGTGATTCCAGAGTGAATCAAAAGGAGTGTGTCTGTTCCATGCTCCTCTCCCTGTTTGCCAGACAGTGCCTTAAGGCCATCTGTTCATTGCCTGGGTTTGTTATTGTTTTGTTCAGCTTTAATGTCCTTGGTGTCTCTCAGCTGTGCCTCTTCACTCCTTTTTAACAGCTCATTGTTCAGCAGCATCAAGAGTTGGAAATTTTACTGTTCTCACCTTGAGCTTTAATTCCCCTCTTTCTATTTTGTCTCACTTTCCCTTAAATATAACTTTCTAAAACTTACCTTGTTCCCTCTGAAACATTTTCAGCACTTGGATCTGAGTCTCATCCCATGCTCTGATGGCATGTGGAACCCAATCTGCTTTTTGTTGTTGCTGTCACATCCTTGTGTCTGGTTTCACTTCAACCTTAAAGCTCATCCAGTTCCACCCTCTGCCATGGGACACCTCCCACCAGCCCAGGTTGCTCTAAGCCCCATCCAGCCTGGCCTGGAACACTCCCAGGGATGGGAAAATCAGAGTAAGGTATTTGCCTGATACTTTTGACTGTGAACTAAAGAAGTAGATGTGAGTTAAGGGTGTCAGTGCAGGGGAAAACTGTAATATTCGGAGTTATCATCAGTATCAGCTGAAACATTGGTGCTTCTGTTTGTTTATGGACTCACCAGTTTGCTTGGGTTGGGTTTATTGTCTTGTCTTTGTGGTGTTACATTTTCCTTTTTTTTTTTTTGTTTTTTTAGAGTGAACAAATTATTTTCAGAAGGAAATTCCATAAAGATAACTTAGTTCCTATCTCGAATATCTGATAGGGAATGTAAGGAGAAAAATAATAATATTTAGGACATGCCATGCAAAATGCTTTAGAAATAGTTTGAAATGTGTGTATTTGTGAGACCTCAGTGGTTTGCAAGATACTGTGGGTTTAATACATGTATATAATGTACTCAGTGCTGGTGAGGCCACACCTTGTATCCCCTGCTCAGTTCTGGGCCCCTCAGCTCAGGAGGGACATTGAGGTGCTGGAGCAGGTCGAGCAATGAGGCTGGTGAAGGGACTGGAGCACAAGTGCCATGAGGAGAGGCTGAGGGAGCTGGGGGTGTTCAGCCTGGAGGAGGCTCAGGGGAGACCTTATCACCCTCTGCAACACCCTGACAGGAGGTTGGAGTCAGGTGGGGGTTGGTCTCTTCTCCCAGGCAACCAGCAGCAGGACAAGAGGGCACAGCCTCAAGCTCTGCCAGGGGAGGGTTAGGTTGGATGTTAGGAAGAGGTTTTTTAGGGAGAGAGTGATGAGGCATTGGAATGTGCTGCTCAGGGAGGTGGTGGATTCACCATCCCTGGAGGTTTTCAAGGTGAGACTGGATGTGGCACTTAGTGCCATGGTCTAGTGACCATGGTAGGGTTGGACTTGATGATCTTGGAGGTCTTTTCCAGCCTGGCTGATTCTGTGATTCATTCCTCAAAGTAAACAGCTGCTCATGGCTTAGAAGGAGCCCAGAGTGAGCAGCCAAGGAGTTTGTGTCCCTCACCCTGGAACTGGGGCTCTGATTACTGTCTCTGCCCTGTGATACAGTCAGAATGAGACCTGTGCAGTGCTGTTGTGCTGGTGCAAGCACTCACTCTGATGGCATCATTTCTGCTTGCTGCATCCCATTTTGCAGCCTGGGCTTTGTATTCCACTCACATTAATTGAAGTAATTTTGCCACTGAAGCGTGTTTCAACCCTCTGCATTTAAATTGAAATTTTAATTCCCTTATTGTTTGGGGAAGATGGTGGGAGATGGTTTGTTCCAGGTTTCATTATCACTCCAAACTCTCCAGCTGCTGGTTCTAATGTGCAGTGACTGGGTAATGCAGGGCAGGATTGTTAATAACAGAGTGGCAGCTTCTCCCAGTTGTATAAACACAAATGCAGAGGTAGTTTGTGGCAGATTCCATTTGTATGAAGTTAAAAATTTGAAGTGTCAGCTTCTTTCTGATTCTTTATCCACCCAGAGCAGCACAGATGAGCTTCAAATATCAGGTGTTCATGTTCCATGTTCCTCCAGCATCTTGGTAGTCCTGGGAGCAGAGCCAGGAGGATCAGGTTTGCTGTTCTATAATTGCACCTTACAGGTTGGCTAGAAGAACCTGGTTCCAACCTCCTTTGAATTGTGAAGCTTTGGAGAAATTAGCAATGTCTGGAACAGAGAAAACTCCTGTTTGAAATGAAATGTGTCTCAGTTAATTTTCTATTTTTTTTATTAAGGTTTTTATAGAGTGAGTTTGAAAGAGTTTTTTGCTGTAATGGAGCTAGTTTTTCACACACTGAATTGCTGATAGTAGTGTTCACTTTTGTGTGGCAGTTGAGAGCACATGGACACATTTGTGTGTGTGTGTTGTGTTTTGGGGGAGACTAAAAGGAGGCTCAGGTGGGGCCTCAGGTGTTGCCACAGCCTCCCTGGGCAACCTGTGCCTGTGTCTCCCCACCCTCACAGCAAAAACTTCTCCCTCTTATCTCAGTTTCCCCTGAAGTTCTTCCAGAAGAGATTCTGGATGTGCTGTGCAACACCAGAAGCAGAGGTCACACAGCAGGACAGGCAGCAGTGGTGAGAACAGAAGGTCCTGTGGCTGCAGGAAGCAGTTCCATGTCCAAACTCCCCAGCACTGAGCTGTGGACTGCAGGGCAATCTGCTCTGCCTAGCAATTAATTAATTAGCTGCAGTACTGTGGAGGTCTGTGGTGTTGCTCTAACTGTTCTGACTCTGCTGTTGACCCATGAGGTGCCCATAGGGAGAAATTAATCTTTTCCATTTGTTTATATCAACTAAGAGATGAAATGCTAAAAGCAGTTGAAGAAAGAAATGTTGTTGAATCAAGTAATTAAAGGTCATATCATAATTATGAGTAAGTAAAAATTGTTTAGGCTATGTCTTTGCATGTCCCAACTTCTCTGTGTCTCTACTTGTAGTTTTAATGAACTAAAGCCACTTTTTCCAAAGATATATGAAGGCTCTTTTGATTCTGGTAGACCATAAACCACTTGCAGGACCTGATTTATCCATGCAGGAGTGCAGTTCCTTTGGGCTGGGGTTGTGACTGTCAGGGATAACAAAACACCATGGAACCACACATGGCACAGGAGTGAGGATGGCTCCTTTTGCTGGTTGAAACTGATTTGTTAGGAAGGTGACAAGAAGGAAGAATGAAGATGGAAAATAAGAACTATAGATCTGGTGTGTGTTTTGTCCTTGAGCACATTCTTCTCCTTTTATCCCAGGAAATACAAAGCTCAGAGCAATTTGTCTATCCACAGCTAGGCCAGGAAATGTTCCAACACCTCGTTTTCTTTCTTTTCCATGTTAAGGGCTTATATTTCAGTTCCCTAATGCCAGGGAAAGAACAATCCCCATCCCCTGCTCTGCTCTTTGACAGCAGTAACAGCAGCAGAATTTTTTGGGAGCTGCTTTCTCCCTGTAAATATGCATTGTAGCAGTTTGTTGGGTTTGGGGAGTGAAGCTGGTGGCTGATACTGTTGTTGGATTCAATTAAACCTGCTTGGCTTGGCATCCAGCTGGGTTGGAGAGGAGTTAGCTCTGCAGGTAAATTAGGTCATTTTCAGTCCTGCTGATGCAGCATCGTTAACACACCCTGAGCTCAGCACCAGCACCTCAGGATGCATCCAGTGTGTTGTCTCTCAGCTCCACAGCCTGTGAGGTCTGTGCTGGGTTAATTTTTTCAGGAGCATTGCTTGGCTATGAAATCACACCTCTCTGTCTGGGGGTGCTGCTCAGCTCCTCTGCCTGTGTGCCATGGCACTTGGCAGCAAAGTGGGTTTGTTTTGTCTGCAGGACTTTACCTCCCAACTGGGTGACATAGTGGGGGACATGGGCGGAAGGCAAAGGGGTTTTGGTAAGTGGAAATGCTCTGCAGAAATCAG